GAGGAGTGCTGCTCACCACAAAAGTGGGAGCAGGGCCATAGTAAAGGGTTTGAAAAGACTAAACCCCCGACTTACGCACTTCACACAGTTAAGTGATGCATCGTGTTTGCCAAACATTGAAACTGAGAGTTCTGGATTTCACAACAATCTGGGTTGAGTTCAACCTGGCTGTTTTAAATAAAAAACAATTCTGTTTGTGAGTGCAATCGAATTTAAATTTTCTTGCCAAAAATGCTGAACTCTTCTTTCAAAGATTACAATCTACCAGCAATGAGGTGTTTTGCAGAGTGATTCAATGGAAAGAAAGTAATGTAGCCTTCATTCTCTCAACATTTCCCATAACCTCTCTCTACCCAGCAAAGTTGAAATATCCCATTTGGATATACAGATTTTATCAATTGCACCAATGCAAATAGTGGTACGTTAACTGCAAAATGCACATTTAGCTGTTTGCAGCTTAAAACCTACTGTGGGCATCATTGGAAGTGAAATCTACTCAATTTTAAACATGCACAAATCTGGAACTGAGTAAAACACATCCAGTAAAAACAAATATCTATATGTACACTATGTACACCATTTGTTAGCTCTGCATAGGCCCTATTTTTCTTCTATCTAACACAGGGATGCGAGTAATCAGAACAGAATGGGCAGAAGAGGACGACCACAAGTTACTCGTGCTCGTCGGGGGGAATCTGGACGCAGAGGTTAGGCAGGGATAGGAAAACCACACTGGAAAACTGACTTGGGAATGGCATCTGGTTCCCATATTCACAGTGTATCACAATTAGCCGGCATAAAATGACTTTAATGTGTGCGTATGCGTTTGTGATTGTGTGTGTGCGTGCGTGTGTTAGTTGTTATGTGTCTGATGTTCCTGTGGGAGCAGGGACGCTGTGAACTGAAGCAACTGAAACTGATGGTGTGACTGGTTGAAGGCGTCTGCTGTGTGAGAACAGTGTCAGGGTGCAAATCAAACATGGAGGAGATACTAATTCACAATCTCAATAAGGGAAGGTCTCGTTATTCCTGAGGAGGGGAAAAATTTAAACAGCTTTAACCAAATTCTATCCATAAAAAGCCTAAAACCGAAGCCAATTTGTTTTTATGTCTGCACAAGCAAACTTCTGACCCACAAAATTCTTCTCCTGGATATGAAATGTTGAATAAGGGACAATGTCCCAGTTGAAAATAGATTTATTTTTGCTTCTTCTGTTGATTCAATTAGAACCACATAGTGGCAGCTCCACATTTTTCAACATTTGATGGAAAATTCCTCTCAATCAAAAAGCCTTTTCGTAAAGCTGGAGTGCAGCACTTTCACATATAAATGGCAATACATATATAGATGAACACCAGTTACTTTAAAGCCTTTGCCAAATGAGTTCACACAATGCTGATTAAGCCCATCACCAGGGAAAGCTCCCTGTATTTTGTAGTATGTCGGAGTTCTAGTGTCTGCTCTCTGTGGCGACTTTCCCGCCCTGCTACACCCCTGATGCCTTTTATGTCAACCAGTCAGATCTAAAGGCAGCTAGCAGTAGGCTTCCTATGGCAGAAAACCTTAAGCAGTTTGAAAGAAAAGCTTCTGGAAGGGATGTTACAGATAAAGAAACTCTGCATTCAGAGGAAGGTAAAAAAAAAAGAGAATGCGAACGACGGCGAGGACAAACATGGATCACTATTGGTGTAGCTTTTCATCATTTGAAATGCTAAAAGAAGAGGGGGGGGGGGGGGGGGACTAAGGGCAGGCATGGATGTGCCATTAGTGCTCTTGGAAAGGTTGGTATTTGTAGAATACTGGTGAAAAGCAGAAGACTTGAAGAGAGATTAGACGGAGAACTCACCTGCATGCATACATGCATACATCATCAGCACACGTCAACTGTTCCCCAGCTTGAAACTGCAAGCATCGCAGTCATACTGTGCTAATTCTCTTACCACGCCAAGATAACGACAGTTTCCCCTGTGAGTATTCAGCCTGCTCAGCCAGCCAACGTGCACTACTTAACGGCTTCAAATCACTGTGTGTCAAGCTCTCGGTTGGCCTGAGTGTTGCCTCCTGTCACTTGCTGACAGACCAGTGCTGCTGATGGGCACAGCATGAGCAGAGAACTGACATAAAACGGTCAAACTCTTAAGGTTGTCACGTCCAGTGCCGGTAGGCCTCCTCAGGCACCACTGCCTCTATGAGCCCAAATGAACAACCACGTCAGATAGATCCACTCGCAGCTCTTGGCGAGCCTCTCACATGCCAAAGCCTCTGTGTGTCTCCATTCTGCGTCCGTGCTCTGATGTGAAACTGTTAATGGGCAGAGTAATAAGTCTAAATGATCACAACATCAGAGCATGCAGAGCCTCCCATAACTCCAACTAGAGTCTCACTTTCGATTTCGAAAACTGACGCCTTCTCCACTTCTGTAGAGAAAAAAGTGATCAAAGTCCAGCTGGAATATGTTTTATTAACAGGTGTGGAGCTGCGACGCATAGCAGATGAAGGATGAAACGTGGACGGCGTCTGGGCTCCTCTGCTTCACCCCCACATTGCCTGTAATCCCTGTAGCACAACTGCATAATTCATACGCTGTGACAGTTCATACTCAACCTGCGTCTCTGGAATCTCGGCTTGTGAAGCAGGGAGGTGGAAACTACTTGTCATATACAGATACAGATGCACCCAGCTTTACTTACCTCATGGCTAACATGACTGACTTGTAACTGGCCTGGCTTGAGAGTCCAGTGTGGTGCAGAGGCATGCTAAAGTGGGTTCGCTATTCCAACATTGTATCGTTTTCAAATATTTCCCCTTCCATCGAAGCCGATTTCAAAGCATACAAGTTTCTTCCTCTTACTGTATAATTTTAGTTTGGTATGGCATACAGTCTGTGCCAAAAAAAAAGTACAGTCAGCGGGTGATGTTGGTGTGTACTCTTGTGCAGCCCCAGGGATGGTGTTTTATGCTTGATTGGCACTAAATGGTGTGCGCACACACACACACAGCGGTTGGTGCGCTGGGGTTGATGTTTTGACACGGGCCGGTCTTGAAGAGCCGCAGAAATATGAGAAAAGAGGATTTTTTTTTAAAATGAGAAGCAAAGACATGATAATTCTTGCCTCAGCTGTCATGTCACAGACTTTAACTTTTATGTAAACATTCTTCTGGTTTCAGTAGGAAGAGGAGGCAAAACACTCTTCTTGTAAATGCTGCAAAAGTTGAAAATCCCCTCGACCCATATCTGTAACATGTCTCCAGTAATAGCTTTCCAATGTGTCTGAAAGACAAGAGGAGATATCCAACTAAACATCACTTGACAACTGACCCCGATGCGAAATTGACACAAAAGCCCAATCCGTGGAGGAAAAGGAAATTACATGAAAGCAAATTACTTTTCCATGCCTTAACGCTGCTCACGAGCCACGAATGAAGATCTGTCCTGATCGGCTTTGATTGAGGAGATCAAATTTCTCCTTCTGTCACTGCAACTGCAGGTCCCCGTCCATTCATCGGCGGCCGAGTAACGATTAAGCCACAGAGATCTGTAATGACCTCAGCAGTGTACAATTTACACAGTGTCACCAGAGTTATAGAGGGAGCTGTTGAATATTCATAGAGACGTGTCCTCTGCCATCCCCTGGGTGGGCAAACCAAATGAGGGACCGCATGAGGTCACTTGCTACCGTCTCTTTCTGAAGAAAGTTTTTTTTTTTTTTTTTTTTCGGAAACAGATTTGGTGACCATTTTTTAAGACTGTTTTTAGAAATGCAGTCAGCCTTCAGGTTTTTTTTGGTCTGTACTGCACATTATAACCTTTTTGCTCAGTGCAGTAGAGGTTCTGCTGAAACATGGTTGCTTTTCCTCCAGTAAAAAAAAAAGGAGCCCTACCAAACATTTACAGCTCCTTCTGCCTCCGATAATGACTTCATCAGAGTGTGATTTGCTGGCCACAACTGGAGCATTGTCAGGTATCTACTGTTTGTGCACTGGATTTACTATGTCTCACCCAAAGGAACAATCCTCCTGGTACCAAACAAAACAGTCAGCCCATACATTTACAGGCAAATCCAACTTTTCAGAGAGAATACTTTGCAGGCTCTTGAGACATCTCACAGTATGATTGTATATGTCAGATGTACGGCCTGAGCGAGAGAGTCGGAGAAGGGAGACCACCTGCACTTACTTATGTCCCAGAACCCCAGGAGCGGGTGTCTTAGAAGGCTCTGAGGATCAACTTACAACTTTTACAGCTCAGTCGGCACACGCTATTATACCTATTCAATCACACATGCCTCTGGACTATAAATAATGTTAACGGCGCACACGCATACAGTGCCCGCTTGACCCGGTTATACAGCGAACTGTCACAATCCTCTGTGCTTATGTAAGTATGGGTTTGTCTTCATCTTTGGGGGGAACTCTGAAGTTTTCCATCTGTTAAGGGGAGTGGATCTGTGATCACCCCAGCAGTGTAATGAGGTGAGATAATCTGTTCGGGTGCAGGGATCTGGCAGGGATGGTGGATGGTAGCGAGAATATTACAAACCAGACTGCCCAAATGACAGGGACGAGGGTCCCCATTAGGTGAAGGCAGGGATAAAGAGATTAATTTAATAATAGAGGCTTACTGTGTGGTACAACGGAGATTTCTCAGCACATTTGTCATAATCAGATGTCTTTTACATCAATTATAAAAACATAATTTTATACTTTTTTAACATCCACCAAGTACAAAGTCTAAAGCTCACTAATGAAAATGTTACATCTCGTTTGTTTAAGCTGTACAAAAATCACAATTTGTCTCCACTGGTTACCTGGCAACCTAATGGTTATGGCAAGCCCAAAATGTACCACATTATGGTTTTATGCAAATATTTCCCTTTCATGTAAATTGTTCCCGACTTCAAAAACAGTGAAGAAGCATACGCTGAACTGCATCCTGCAGTTGTGTTTGACTGTTTTTACCTTCACACAGTTGGGGAAGATGTGAGGCAGGCATACTTACAGGAGGTCCTGAAAGAGAAAGAAGAAGAAAAAAAGCACTTAGTGTGTTTTCAATCAGCGATCAAACAGACTCAGATCATCAATGTTCCACTGAAACCACACATCCAAATAACTCAGATGGGAAATCAGGCTCTTGCAGAGATTTAGTTCTTTGGTGAAGGAACATTCGATAAAGATGCGTCTCTTCCATGATGCGTTCACTGACTATGCAGAACACACAGACATTCTACTTCAGTACATCCCACTTCTACCTAAAGCATGGTTTACAACAACAGCACCGTGACAAAAGATTCCAATCTATTTTCCATGCAGTCGGAACAATGACCACCAGGCCTGGTGATCACATTTTACGTTCGTAAGTCACTCTAATTTCACTACTACATGAGGTTGCACGCTTGTTAAAAAATGCTCCCACGTTCTTGTGAGGTGACACTCGTCTTTTCCCCCAATTACTGCTGCTCAAAGGACTGTGTGCCAATGCACTTCAGGGCCCTGCAAATCATTTAGGGTCTTTAGGTTCTTATTAAAAAAAAGGTACCCAGCTGCTTTAACCCTAAAAAAAAAGGATTATTTTTTTCTTTACAAGTCCTATGTCCTTGAACTGTTCTTCTTCATGACCAGGGGGAAAGTCTAAATTATTCCAACAGCTGGAGCATTTAAGGAGCCGTATGTTTGAGGCTCGCCGGGCTGCACTTCTGTAGCGATGTTTAATGGATCGTTGAGTTACAGTAGACCACTTAGCTTTTAATAAACCTGTCCCACTGTGTCGAATGGCTCAAAGGTTTCAACGAGCAATTACGGGAAATCAAAGAAATTGTGTGATAAAAATGTGCAATATGCTGCAGAGCACATATAGCCACCTCAAAAGGTATGCATTCTTAAATTTGATGGCCTCAGTTAGACCAAAAACATTATTTGATGAAATATAATCCATGTAAAATGAAATAGTCTGTGACATAATGTTAAATAATCCACCCTCAAAGCTCACTTTGAGTTTCACTTTCTGTTCCCACACTGGCACCCCTAGTCAATTTCCTCCACCGCTTGTCAAACTCCTGCTTTTGCTAACCAGTCACCAGCGAATGGAAAGGTTACTGGACTCACTTGACAGGCATTTCATTGAACGTGTGATTGCTTACACCACGGTGGGTGAAAGTTGTTTTGTTCTAACATAACGTAAAGGTTAAAGATAGGATGCAATGGGGCTTTCTAACTCACTTTGTAAAAGAAAAGTCAGGCTTTTTTGCAAAGAAAGAGGCGCTTTTCTTCTTGCTTGACACTGATGCACCACTGTATATGGTTAAATTGCTCAACCGGCTCACGTTGAGCATCAATTCCTCCTTTTGAGAAGGCAAGTTCATCAGTAAAAAGCGCCTATTATTCATATTGGGAAAATATGGGAGGGAACTTTCTACACTTTCCAGCGATGGCCACCTGCTGGAACAGTCTGAGAGTGTTGCTTTCACTGCTACATAAACGTTTTCATCCTAAACAGTCATGCCACACTTTTCCTTTCCATGTGTTACGGGTAGACAAACAAGAGATCTTAATAAAGTATCCCATTCATTCTTCATGCATCGGTAAATATCACCGTGTCCTTTTCCTATTTGTTCTCTCTGTCAGTTGCAGCCAAGTTTGGGCGAGAGCATTCCCCCTTCGCCTTTGTAGATGAGGAAACTGCAAAAACACCTCACCCTGAATTTGTGGGAAACTTGCTGCGGCTTACTTACTTTTGGTTAAAGCGAATCATGAATTAAATATGCTTTCCTTCAACATCAACCAGTGTTGTGAACTTAAAAGAGGGAAATTGGATTTGCAGAAGGCTCACAGTGCAGAATGCCACACGCCGGTCCCCGTCAAGGACAGAATTTTTCAGTCGTATAAATAATGTCTCCAAAATAATCATTTTTTAAAAGTTTTTCTCCCGTTGAACGTGTAGACCTAGTTTGACACTGAGCTCCAATAATGCAGCATGGTGCCATCATATTTTCTTGTAAATGCTTCTGTGAGTTCTACTCAGATTTTTGCTTTTTTATGCCTGCTACACATATCTAAACAGTAAATGCAGCAGAAATAACTGAGCGATAGTTGCATGCTAATATGCAGAATCACCTTTCGGGCATTGAAAGCACTCACATTTTAAATGACATTCTCTGTACAAGGACTTTGAAAGCATTTTTTTTTTCCGTAAAGCCATTTAAATGGCATGAATGTTTTTGTGGACGCTGAGCATAACCAGTGAACAGATAAAAAAACACTGCATCGCTGACATTAATGAAACTCGTTCAGGTAGTCCCATCACTCTGATTTGACAATGTACCTCGGCCTTGTTTAGTACTGTAATTTGGGCTGTTGTACACAGCGGTAAGGACCATCATCCCAATTGTTCCCTATTGTCTTCCCGAAGGCCACTCTGCCTCTCAAGTCCAGACATTGTGATTGGGTTATGATTGCTTGCTTGGTTCCAATTGATTTGTTTTGGAGGAAGCGGTTCACGTTCTTCACATTTGCTCTGGTTGACCAGGGAGAGAAAGAACCGTCTTCGCACAATGGTGCCATTTGAAATATGCTGTCATGATGGATGTTTATTTGAAAAGTTAAACGCTGTATAAACAAAGACCAGCGGTATTACAGATCTGCAGCCAACCAGAACATTGAACTGTTGTCTATCTGTCAATTGATAACTATTTTTTTTTTGTCTCATCTCCCTTGGCTTTCAAGTCATGCACTGGATTACTTGAGTATTATGTAACTCAGAAAAAAGAGAAGGCAGAGAGACCCACCACACTCATTTACATCTCAACATGGCCACAATGGGATTCAAAACTAATTTGACAAAATCAAAAATTAAGGAAGAAATAGAATCTTTGATACTCAAATAACCGCTCATTCGATTTAACTCCTGGGACGCTAAAAGAGTAGCAGCTGGATTTGGTGGTAGCAGATTTTTATTCTCCCCTGACAGTGTTTGTTTCTCAGGCTGTGAATCCAAACCGCTCCCTTATTACTCGACCTCACTTCAAATTGGGACCTTACTTTGCCCTGTGTCTCCAATGTCTTTTTTACAAGGGCAGTACTTTTGTTCCAAAGCGTTGGCTGCTCTCTGCAGCACGGCGCTCTCGATACAGGAACACTGCCACACTCCGGAGCCCATTATCACTTTTACTATCAGGTGAACGGAGTGTGGATGCAGCTCCTTGCCAAGTGCATGTTCTCGCTGTGAATTCAATTTGTTGCGACACGTCTTGTGGGAGTGTCGTCACAAAACATGTCGTCCTTCCTGGATACCCGAGGCCTCGGCAAGTTTGTTGTCAGCTCAGGAGAGAGAGAGAGTGTGTGTGTGTGTGTGTGGGAGGAGGGAGGGGAGATTGGAGAACGTATTACGACAACTTGTTGCTGAATTTGTGGAAACAAACAACTGCTATATATGCTGAACTTCGAAGTAGGATCACCATCAGAGGGTTAGTGTGTCTCAAAACTTGGACACGGACGTCATCCGCTCCAACAAGTTCGGGCATCACTGTCTCACACAGTTTCTATAGCGACTGAAGCTAAAACAATCCAAGTGAACACTGAAACCACCAGCCCACAAAGTACACATCTATAACCTATTTTGGCCTCCAAACATATACAGAGTACTTTTACATGATTGTAACTGCAGTATGATTTGCTGATGTCCTCCTGAATTGCTCCTTGAATGTTCCTGGATTGGGACGTTAAGTGATCTTTGGCCGCACACATGCACAGAGACAGAAACGCACACACACACACACACAAACACAAATGCACATACCAGGCTCTCCATTTCGGCCTCTTCTTCCTCGCTTTCCCGGAGGTCCTGCAAAAAAAAAGAAGGATGTAATACATTTTAGTGATTTAATTGTCTTTTTGTTTCATATCAGTTTCATATTCTTCAAATATTCTCACAGCAGGAGGAGAGAGCCACTAAAAGATATTGCCTTTGGACGACAGACACCTCAAAATCTCAAGGTTCATTAAGTATTTAGGCTATATTTATACATAACCTGAGGTGGAAAAAAGGAAACACACACTGTGTTTCATGCTGTCAACCGTGTTTCTTTATCCTTTTTCAGCACGGATGCCCTGGCTTTTAATTTGTTTACCTAGACAGTGTTTTCCTGTTTGCCATTTTTCTGTCAGCGCCATCAATCTGCTAAAGCGCAGGCTGGAGGAGTAAAACAATTACACGCCTTGCCAGGTTTTACATGTTGAAGACTTGACTGGGTCGTATTGTATGAAGGTTTAGTTCTCAGTTTGGAAAGTGGGAGCATCTCTCCCCAAAATGATCCATTCCTCCCAGCAATGCAGGCTTTTCCTGAGGTTGGCAGCTGGAAAAAAAAGTGTCAGGCATTGGCATTTTGTTTGCTCTCTGCCCCCAAAAAAAGCGTGTGTATTGACAGTATAGTCAAAGGGTAAAGCTATGACTTTTAGACGAGCTGGAAATTAAGAGTTGGGCTTGTATGATTACACAGAAGTACACAGGGACTCTCCACTCCATTTGAGGAGGCTTGTCAACTTGCAATGGAATGGATAACATCTAGTAAGGGAAATTGCTCTATCCACTCAACATGAAAGGAGTTGTCAGGATAAAAAAAGATCGGAAGTTAATGTAACCAAGAGGAACAATCTTCCCCGTCTGGTTCTGCATCACAGAAAATATTCAGATCCAATTTCAGGCAGCAACAATGCTGTGAAGAGTTATTATGCAAATTGATTTGGAGACTCTTTTTAACACCCAAACCGACAAAGAATAACGTTTTGTCGCCATGTTAAGGTTCAAGGTAATTACAGTAGTGTAACAGGGTCGGTGAAAGTTTTTGAACAGACTGCAAAGCTCGACAATAATTGCCTGGGTGTCTAATGTTGCTCCAAACGATGACTTTGTGACATGGGGCTTTGATCGTCAGCTAAAAAAAGCAGGACTAAGAGTACAAAACAACCGTACTAATTACCTCCAACACCCCAGCCTGTACATAAACCTCTCTTTATTTATCAGCATGTCATCCAATAAACATTCCTGCTACCTCTAAAGGATTCCCTCTAGATGGAAGTGGAATGAAAGCAACAAAGTGAAGAGTTAAATAAATCAGAACACTGCCTTTTAGGACACACCAGATATGTTACTGGGGTGCAAAATACAGGATTATATTGCGCAACTCTTAGTCCTCAATTTGATCCCACTGTTTGGCTCCACTTCAGCCTCCAACTCCGCTCCTATTGGACCGTTTCCAGGATAATGTCAAACACTGCCAGCGAAGGGTCCAGGCACAGTTTAAAGTATGTAACCACAGGTGGAGTTTGACTCTCACTTTACTATGATTCACATCAACTCCGCTTTCTCCATAGGTTAGTTTTTCGAGGTTTTAAAAGAAACAGAAGGGGGTTTACTGCACTTGGCAGTCACTTCATTATTGCTCACTTTGAAATGACACTTGACACCTCTGAGAGGATTTTTTTTGTGTGTCGATACAACATCCTCCTGATTTTGGCGGTGCATTTTTGACAGCTGCAGAGAAAACTCTCCCCACATGGGAGTTGGTGGTCAAGACAAAATACCCAACATTATTTTCAGATATCATCGTGAGTTACTTTATTCGTCGCAATATTTTCATTCCGATTATAGACTGTAAGGAGAGATACCAAGCAACTGTACCAGTGACATTTCAAACTTTGTAGAAATATGCCAAGAAAAATGCTATAAAGTTTCAGTTTATGAAACACGAGAGAAAGAATAACTTAAAGTTCAGGACCAGTCAAAGGCAGTTCTCACATGTTCTTAAATCAATTAAGACAAAAAAGAGAATTTTTGTGAATCCTCTGGTCATAAATAAAACCAATCAGACTCCAACCGAGTCCTAAAGTGCTGAGAGATCTTAAGCTGCCTGTCAAGGAAAAACATTATTCATGCTCAAAAACATTGTATTTGGCCTGATATTTTCTCACAGCATCCCAAGTACTGTCATGGAACAGTGGTTTCAGAAAAAATGTGGCAGGGAATTTTATGATGAGGGTCAACAACTATGAACACTAGGAACTGTTGAAACCTTCTCAACCTTTTCAACAGCTTTCGAGTCTAAAGGGGAAATAAATCAAAGCGAACTTCAATTCGTCAATTAGTCGGACAGAGTTTGTGGTCGGACAAATCAAAATGGCCCCCGTGTATTGTGTTTTTACATTGTGTTGTATGGTGGGGTCTTGCTTTTTAGAAAGTAAGGAGCAGAAAGCCACATTATAAGTGCTAATTAGCTTCCCATTAGGCCGTGCTGCTGGTGTGGCTTCTATGGATGGCGATGTCAAGTCAGTCCACAACTGTGCTCCAGATATACTGTGCTCGACAACTATTGGTTGGATCGTCAAGAAGCTGTGTACAGACATCCGGGTCCCCAGAGGATGAGTCCAACTTTCTTTTCCTTTTCCGCCGCCACAATATTTACATTTTGTGGTTTTGACTGAAATTGGATGGATTGCCATGAAATTTGATTCAGACATGCATGTCTCTACTAGTTACAGCATCACTTCAAAATTCTAATTTGACCAAAACGTTCCCAAAAAAAACCTGAAAACTACCAACATTCCCATCAGCCTCATCTGAACTTTGTGTTCAGTGCAAATTAGCAAATGATAGCGTGCTAACACTCCAAAGACTCTATGATGGTAAACATGGTAAACATTATAACCTGCTGAACATCAGCCTGTTAGCATGTTCATGTTAGCATTCAACTCAATGCACCACTATGTCCAGCCTCATTAATGAAGTACAGCCTCATTAGATGCCAGCATGGCTGTTTTAGTCTTAAACACAAATATCAGGCAACTCAAATTCTACTATGTTAAAAATACAAATATAATATTTGTAATAATTAAACAAATAGTTTGTCTACATAGTCACATTTTAACAATTCAAAATCAACACAGCTAACTAAATATGACACAAGACGCTGAAAATCACCATGGTAAACTTTCAGGAAATTGGAATATTGACTCGTGAATATTCAAGATTGTCATTCTGCACATCACAGCATGGAATCATTAGCACAATGTTTTCAAGTCTTATTCATATTCTGCTTTTTTTAGGAACAGTAAAACAACACAAGATTGTTTACAATCCCACAGAGTTTTTGTCCTAAATATTGATAGAAGTTGTCATTTTAATGCGATTTGGCAGAAAAGAATCCCATGTAATTGGCAGTATTGTGAAACATGCTGTATTGTTTCTGAGTTGTTCATTACAACATTATTTCAAAGCTACAGATTGCCTGACATAATAAACTTCTTGTTTATATTTCATACATTTGAGACACAATTGCGTTTTAATACTACCCTTCATCCATACAATATTGATTTGCTCTGAACAGCGAGCAGAAAGGCAGCTCTGCTCTGTTTCTCTTTTCCTCCGAATCAAATCAGTTTCAAGCGAACCAGCCTTGAACTGACTCATTAACAATACCAGCATTGTTTCAGAGCTTGATGCACATATTCAGACCACTCAATGGTTCTCTCGCAAAGCAACACAGCCATTCCTCAGACTAAACGTTACGCCAAAAACAGCAAACTGGGTACCAGCTACAACCTCCAAAGTAAATCAGGGAATTGAAGGGAATTGGCTTTAGACTTCTCAGCATGTTTGAGATATAATTTGCATTGTCCCATATTAAAATATCATCTGCAATCAGTTGATTTTGTTTTTGAGTAATGATTCAAATAAGACAACACACATTAAGACGCTGCACTTCCTACGGGCCGTGCAACAAACCTGCTTATTGAGAACTTTGTGCTTTGTTGTGCTCTGTGCGTTTGATTCTTTTCCATAATTCATTTTAAAACAATTTTCCCTGGATACATAAAGTGCCGCATTGTTGTGTGCACTGTTTAAATACGAGTCATAAAAATAAAATGTCCAGAACGATTTTTTTGGAGAAATTTCATGGCAATACATTAATTCCAGTGCCAATGTTTTAAGAAACTGACCTGCCATTGTTTTGCTGGCGAGACTTTGACACCCGGCGTCTTTGAATGGTTTGGATCTCCAAAAAAACAACAACTACGCAATCGTCTTTCGTATGCTGTTCTATAAAACGCTACGCTTCAATTTCCAGTTGAAATGTATGACAATGGTTTTGTTGCGATTGTCAAGTTACATCACGGTGTAAAAGTTATGTCTGCGTCATTGTGTTGGCAAACAGTTCAATATCTTTGACAAAAAAACATTGAAAACATTTGCAAAATGTCTCTTCATTTTCATCACTGTCTGTCTATATCAGAATTCAAGGATACAGATTATTGGGCCATCTCAAGGTACTTAAACTTGGAGCTGTGGTTGAATGAAATGTTCAGAATATTTCTAAAAAGAATCTGATGATCAATGTCTTTACAAGCATTCCAAGGATTTAAGAAGATTTAGTCGAAATGGACTTTAATATAGTCCATTTAAACCCACAACATGGATGGATAAGTTTATTAATCCTGGCAACTATTGGGTATCCAGGTCAACGGAACTAAAGCTGCACAAAACCTGGCTTTCTACCGTACAATCATTTTTTACTTTACAAGTACATTTTTGTGGAAACGTCTGGCAAAGAGGACAACAATTTTGATCCAACATCCTTATTACTCTGCATGACAATGAATAAATCAACACATAAAAGGATCATTCATGGAACACTGGGTCCACTGTCCAAGGGAAAAAAATTTAAATTGGACCACAATTTCACAATCAGCCTCATCTTTAAATGTCACTGCTCTCGTCATCTGAAACGGGATGTGTATTGTTGTCAAAATACGATTTGTAAAATAAAACAGCTAACACGCAGAGCCTCT